TTGATGTCGAGAGGAGAGCCTATGAAAAGACGATAAATGAGTCCGATTCCGGGTTACCGGCGCAAACAAAGATGATGGCCAACAAATTGGGCTATCTCGAATGGGGGGTTATCTCTGGGCTACTTGGCTGCCCTGCCACACCACCTCCTTCGTGATCCACTTAGCAGTCCAAAATATTGCTAAACTTTGAGTTTTTATCAGCGTCAAGGCGTCTGCTGAGATAACACAACAACAAAGTGGGAGAGGGGTTAGGGAGAGGTAGCGGGAACGGGAGAGAGAGCAAAGTGCAGCACATAACATAAACTATTTACTGATAAGAATATACACACACACACACAGACACATAGGAGTACATGCCATCGCATGTGTGTTCTCTGTCGGAGAGAGAGATAGAGAGAGAGCAGTGAAAAACGGCTGAGCAAACACTTGCAAACCCAGCACTCGACAGTTTTGTAGATAAAGTATCTACAAGATACAACAACAAGAGCAGCAGCAGCAGAACAGAACATAACAGAAACAACAACTCTCACTCTCCCCCATTCTCACTCTGGCTCGGCTCTCACTCTCTCTCTCTCTCTATGTGTTTGCTCTCATTCTCCCTCTTTAGCTCTTTTGTGGCGCTCGCTCTCTCTCTCTTCATAAGTATCTTCCTCTCTCTGTCATTAGCAAGTGTTTGAAACTCGTAGATACTTTCGGTCGCCTGCCTGCCTGCCTGCCTCTGCCTTTTGACTCTGCTTCTGCCTCTCTGTGTTCCGACTTGAAACCCATTTCGTTTTTAATTATTTTCAGTTTCGAATTTAGTTGTATTTGATTTTCACAAACTCGCGCACTGCCCCGTCCGTTGCCGTTGCCGCTGCCTTCCGCTTCGTTCCCGCTCACCAATGTACGAGTATTTTTGAAGTTTCCATTCCGAATATCCATCGGAATTGTTGAAGTGAGTGTCGTTTTATCGTGTCATTGAGTGCTGGGAATCATTGCCGCTGACAATTTGTTATGTGAGAAGTGGAGCCCCACCCCCATACAGTCCCCCTGACCACACTCGCAAAGTGGTTGAGGGCCGGGCCTGCACTCGAAATTTGTGTGGTGGCGCCCCAAAACAGAGCAGAACAGAACAGAACAAACGAATTGTACCCAGAGAAATGCTGCTTATCAAGCAGCCGCACCAACAAGCCTTTCAATTAAGATACAAAACATAAATCTTTGCGCCCTGCGACAGTGGTGCCTCGTTATGTGGAGAATGCGGGCTGGCACAGAGAATCGCGTGTCCGCCCTGCCACCCAAATCTTTGCTTCGAAAAACCCACCCCACCCAAAACTCTTTCCCAACTTCTGATGTCATACCCACCAGACAGACTTGACTCTATTTTGATTTCCCATTTCTCGTTTTGAATCGTTTCAATCGTTCCAACTGCAAACAAGTTGCTCACGAATGTTCAGCATATTGGATGTGCGCCAGACAGCGTTCGAGAGGGGGGAAGCCATTGATTTTGTACTCGGAAATAACCCCTCTTTCAGAGGCTTCTACTAGCCACGTCTCTGACCGCCTTATCGACAACAAAAAATACTACAAAATAACGAAAATAAACCTTATCGCCGACGTCTCCGCTCGAGTGATAACTGTGCGCCAGCCGCACGACAGGCAGATAACTTGTACGTATTCCTATGTTCGAATGCGACGATTCTCCCGCTCGGAAGAAGTACTAGTTGTTGAGTAAATGAAACACTTCTCATATGCTTCTTGGGTTATTTTATTATTTTCTTGTACATAAGAACTTTAAAGATAAACCCGAAAGTGACAGAAGGAGAGGCGTCTTCGTTCTGGTTTTGGCTTTGGTGTGCTGTAGAAAATTGCACTCCATTAGCGCTCCATTAAACATTCTGATTATGAGGAAAAGTGATAGATGTAATTACTTTTTTAGATGGAGTTTCGGTTAAGTAGGGATGGAAAGATAAATCATACAAATTTCTATTTAAAGTTTCACCTTTACAGGTGTGTCCATTATTATTTGAATATTTTATTCATAAAAGATATATAAAAGATAGATTTATTAAAAAAATGGATTGGATAAGAAAGGGAAATTGCTCTAGCAGGGACTTTTTACTGTAGTTTTTCTTGAACCGAATAGCTTCTCAGAACTCTTGTAGTAAATTTTGATGTATAAACCATATCTTATATGCCACATCTTGAGCATGCCACAACCTGTTTCCACTCAAGGCCTCGTTGTCCACCCACAAATCTTGTCCACGAAACGATTTCAAATGCTTTGCTGATTTTTATATTTGGCGGCCGGGGGACTCACAGAAATCCTTGGGCTGATTGGAGAGTGCATTCCATTACGTAAGGCCGCCGGGGAAGCAGCTGTTTCGCATTCATCACCATTAACACATTTCTGGCTTGACTGCATCAATGACGCTGGCGGTGGTGTCGTTCTGGCTGCTCCGTCATCATCGTCATCGCCATCGCCTTTTCTTCTAATCGGGGCACAAATTGTTTTTTGCTGCAACCATTTTGCCGTTGCATTTCAAGGACACAAAAACCCAGAGTGGAATAGAAGCAGAGAGAGTGAGAGAGAGGGAAAGCGAAATGTCGAGCACTTTGCGTGCCTGCAGGGCGGTGTGGAGCATGGCGTGTGCCTTGTGGCTGGGGACCCCTGGCCCGGCGGCATCTCTCGCGGGGTCTCCCCCTTCCCCACCCAGTTCTGAGAGATTTGTGACCCGACTGCAGTTGAAATTTGATTGCCAAGTTTTGGTTCTTGTGCATTTATTATCCGCCTTTTGTTTCGACATCGACTGTCGCCATTTTGTGGCTGTGTCGCGCGGATCCCCACCAAATGGGAATTCTACAAAAATTCTATAACAAATGAACAGAGCAGAGCACAACAGAAATAACAAATATCATTAAATAAATTAATTGAAAAACTGAAATGCCAAGCCGAGGCGCAAAAGCAACTGGTTCTCGCATCCAAACAGAAACTTGTTCTACTGCGGCGGCATCTCCTCCTGCTGCTGCTGCTGCTACGGCTGCTACGGCTGCTGCTGCTACTGCTGCTAAAATGTATCTTTAGTTTCGTATTTGTTTCTGTTGTTTACTAATTCCTTAAGTAAATGCAAATTTTGTGCGGCTTACTCGTTTTGCGACAGGTGCCACACAGCCCCCAGACACAGAATTTAATAGCGAATGCAATACAATTACGAATATGTATCTGATAGTACGCATTCGGCATAGGTATCTACATATGCATGTATCGTAGCATTGAATTTTTCGCTGCCTCTGCCATGTCTTCGATTTATTGCTCATTTTGTTTTGTGGTTACTGTAAAAAAACAAAAGAAGAAACACAGACACAGACACAAATACTAATACTAATAAAAATAAAACCACACACACATCGCACATCGCATTCAATGGTCAAGGTCGTTCGCAGTCAAATCGAAATCCAACACTTGGACACTTAGAGTGCCCCTATAAATGAGTGGTATACCAACATCAGCAGACAACAGCAACAGCAGCAGCAGCACTACCACAAATATAACAACAAAATACACAAAATGTTTGTATAATTAAACGCCATTTTAAACAAATAAATGCGCGTTGTCTGTCACTGCAAAATGTTGTGTTGCTGCTGGCTGTTGGCAGTTGGCTTTTGATTTTTGGATTCGTTTTTGGGTTTTCTGTTGGCGCATTTTTAATTAGCAATGAAATCATAATAAAATAAACCAACTCATGCATAATTGAGTTGCAAGTTTTGAATTTTCATTGCCGTGCACGCTCAGCTCAGCTCAGCTCACACCAAAAACTTGCTCAGGTTTTTATTTGCTTTTAAATAATCATGATCGACTTAAAGGAGGGGGTTTTAGGGACAGATTATGGATAGATTTGAAACCATGAAATGTGTTGAATAATAAGATGATTATCGAATGTTGTATTCCGTATATTTGATGGAAATTTAACCAAAGAAGAGACCTACAATATGAGCCTTGTCAAGAACTATACTGCCGAGGATAACCAGATGAAATGAATTTATATCCTTATGTCACCTTATGGTGGGTGGTTTTTAAAATAGAAAACTCACAGAATGTAAACATTTAAATGAGTTTCATATTTATATAGCAGGAAACCTGCTATTCAATGATTGACCCACATATTAAAAAGACTAAACAATCGTCGAGAGAACCTTTAAACTTGCACACATATGTCGCCATATGGGTGCTCTTTTATACAGAGTACAGAAGTACAGGAGTATCCCTCCGTAACATTTCTATGGATTCCAGTGATTCATCCCGTCGTCTGCTTGCCATCCAGCCATTCCACACACATATGCTCAACATTCACAAATGCTTGATTCAAACAACTTGTTGTCTCTAACTCAATCTATGCCTCAATCTCTCTCTCTATCTCTCTTTCGCTCGCTCTGTTTAAATCATTTGCCTGCCTGCCTTTGATATGTGAATGCCCCTCCTTCACACCAAGAAAACCCACGCTTTTCAGAAGATACTCGTGTAACCTCTCTCCAAACCAGAACCATGTCCCTGCTCCGCCCTCATTTTGTATATATATACAGCATCAAAACGAATCGAAATCAAGCGAATCCATATACCCCGTCCCTGCCCACCAAAACTGTTTGTATCTATCTAAATGTTACTCACTTGTGTGTGTTTTACTACTCTCGAGAACTGCATTGCCACACTCCGACAGATGCTGTATCCTCCACATATGTATGTCTGTATCTGTTGGATCGGTTGCAATGCAGCGGAACATACTCGTACCTATATATTTGCCTAAATGTTTACTGTATGTATGTATATTTATTATTGCTGCATAATTCACTCATAAATATTTTTTTCTTTTTTCTTTTTTTCATATAAACGTTTACCAAAAAAAAAAAAACAAAAACAAATATCGCACATTCCACCACAAAACCACCAAATAAAAAATATCAAAAAACTAAAAATCAAAAATAATCGAAACTAAAAACAAAACAAAAAATGCATTGATATCTAGAAGGATCATAAAGATATATAAAGTACATGCATATATTTGTGTGCATATGGTCCGGCGCCCATCAACTGTCACTGTCACGATTACGATAGCCGAGAGCGAATTGTTCGATTGATCGATAGCGATAGCGATAACGATAGCCCTAGCTGTAACTCTGTAAACGATAGCCTGCACCTGCGCCTGCGCCTATGCCCATCGCTAACCCGCTGTGTGTGTGTGTGCATGTGTCCCGGCATCAGTAGAGCGCCCCAGGACCTCCTGCGACTGACTGGCTGCTGCTGCGACTCCCCCCACCACCGCAACCGCCAGCGCCACCATCGCCGCCGACTCCTCATCATCCCAGCCACGCCACCATCGCTCACATAGCCCATCATACTTTCAGATGACAGTTGCGGATCCCCCCAGACACAGATAGTGATACAGACACACACAGAGATCGTTTGGTCGTTTGTTCGCTCGTCCGCCCGCTCGCCCGCTCGTTCGCTCGCTCGCTCTGTCGCTCGCACGCACCTAAAGCCAAACAGAAATCCAACCAACAAAAGCAAACAATCAAACAAAAATCAACAACAACAAAAAAAATCAAGCCAAAAACTAAATAATACCAAGCTAAACCAGACGCCTCATTACCAAACATCGAACGTTTGCGTTGTCGTTCAAAAGAGCGGCTCGAATCGAATCAAATCAAATTGAATCAAAAGAGAAACATATACCAAAAGTACCAGTAGCAAAAACGCATAAGCAAAACGTAAACGTAAACGCAAAAGCAATCATCAGTCACAGTCGATAACCCAAAAAGCAGTCAACATTCAGTTAAAAATGGCCGAAGACGGTACCATGGAGACATGTCCAAGTCCTGAGATCGGCGATTCGCGCAAAAGGCCGCTCGATTCCGATCCGGAAAATGAACAAACTAAACGCTCACATTTCAGTTCCGGTAAGTTTATCAAAATCCAAATCCAAATCAAATCCAATTCATTCAAAAAAAAAAGAAAGCAATAAAAAAGAACAGACCAAGAAAATTAGAAATGAAAAGAAACAGAAAATATTTCAATCGCTCTTGCATATTCCATTATCGTGCTCTCTCTCTATCTATCTCTCTCTCGTTCGTTATCTATCCACTGCTCTTTATCTCAGATCCGCAGCGTATAAATAACTCATTGAATTTTTCGCCTAACTTTTTGATCGCCGAATCGTGCCGTTTTTGCCTTACTTTCTTTGTTGTATGTACAGTCATTTTTCGATGTTACTGCAATATTGTATCGTACATATGTATGTATATCCCAGCCATCAGATCAATCCTCCTCCTCCCCCAAAAGCCCCATATCTCTCGTTCTCTCTCACTGTATCTCAAAATGTAGTTGCTTTTCATTGTCTTCATTGTTGTTCCTTGCTTTAAGTAATTTCAATTAATCCGCACGGGATGGGCATTGCAGTTGTGCCCCCAAAACGTACGTTTCTGATTTTGATTTGTAATTAAGTCCGATAAAGCGTATACGCCCACAGGGCCGGCCCCCAAACACAAACTCATGCTGCTGTTCCTTGCTCCTGGCATGACAACTGGCATCTGGCATTTGGCTGGGTCGAATCTTTGCGCAGGATTTGGCGCCGAGACACTCTGGGCCCAGTTTGACCCATTTTCCCAATGACCTCCGACTGCAGGATGGCGTCGTGTGCTGCGCTCCTCCCATCCTCAATGGCTTGCAATTAGATACAAGTACGAGACTGGCCCTGAGCTGGGCCTGCTTCTGATGCTGACTGACTGACTGGCTGACTGACTGCTGCTTGACTGAAAGAGACCGTAATGAATGACATTTGAGCAGCTTCGACAGGCGCATTTGTTTGGGCAGCTACTTCTCCAGTTCATCTTTTCCTCGAGAGTAGGTCGACCTGCCATTCATATGCAAAGTCAAAGATTAGCGCGCGCTCAAAAGAAGCTCCAACGCCAGTCAGTCAGTCAGTCAGTCAGTCAGTCAGTAAGGCAGCCATTGCCAAACCCCATACAAAATGTGTGTTTGACCACGAGCCATTAGCTAGTTGCTTGCTTTGCATGATTTGTTGGGGCCAAAACCAGCTGCCAGGCAGGCTGGCTGACTGGCTGGCTGGCTAACAGCCCCAAGGTGAGCCACGACGACAGGTACTTCGATTCAGCGTCGCTGTCGTCTATCGTCTCTCTATCGTCATAGATACAAAAATAGCAAAAGTGTAAATGTTAGAGTCTGTTAGAGTGTCGCCCCCGCGGTGGCCCGAAGGCATGGCCAAGCCTAACATTTGATATTTAGATACGTATGGATAGATACTCTCGCACTCGTGAGAGCCCCAACAGCTGAAACACGTTTTAAAAAATTTCTTAATTGCCGACTGAATGACTGAATGATGGACTTAACAGGCATAAAGTCTGTTTGTCAATTGGGAACACGAGGGGGATGATGCGATACGAATAATGACATGATTTTCGTTTTACCGAGTAGGCAATGGGAACAATACCATTCAATTGGTATCCAAATTCAAGTATTTTTTATATTTTAAAGCGAAAAAAAATCAATATTTTAAAGTGCTATCTAAATTTGTGTGCTATATAATTTGTTGTATATGGTTGGCTGGGAATGCGGAAATCTAGTAAGTTGACAAATTAGTAAGGTAAATATTCTCATGAATCTATGGATCTTTTTGCTTGAATTTACATATTGGTTTTGGTCATTGATGGATGGATGGTCTTATGTTTCGGGTGTGAAAATGATTAGTTTTTCTTTGCTTAGCTGCAAGGTCTGCTGGCCAAGATTGAGATGTGTTGAGATAGATGTGTGTGTGGATACAGCTGCACCTAACATTAATGAGCCACCATTAAAGCCATTGTGCGGCTATTGTCTTCTGCTCTCTGCTGTGGACGCTGTGGAACAGGTCCGTGTCATGTGTGTATGTGCGTTGCTTATTAGTTGCCATAGAATTTATTTGCTTAGCTGTCTTGACAGTCATTCATTTATTAATATTTATTTCGTTTGTGTTCTGTTTTCTATCTTCTGGCTATTGTTTGTTATTTACGGCTGTCAGAATAGAATTATACGAGTTTTTAGAAGCTGTCAGAAATAGTTGAAAAACCACACACACACGGAGAAAAACAGCTTCAAAGATGATGGGGGGAAGGGTTTGGGGGTCTGGGGGTCTGGGGTTGGAAATGCGTCAGCAGCAGCAGCGACTGAGGCTGCAAAGGAAATGCAGTAGAAAATGAGAAAAATAAAGGGGCGGCGGGTCAACGTGTCGGGGTCGGAGCTGGGGCTTATGTAATCAATGCTGGAAAATTATGTCCGTGTGTGTGTGTGTGTGTGTGCGCGGTAGTGCCTGTATGTGTCTCTGTGGGTGAGATGGGGGTGCATCATTGGGGGTGTATAAGCATAAAAGTCGAGCCGAGCCATAAGCCGAGCGCATAAAAGACGAGCACACCACACAGAGGCGGAGAGAGAGAGAGTGGGTGAGTGAGAGAGCTGCGAGAGCTGACAGCAGCGGCGAGCGGTTGACCTACTTTGATGACAATGCGGGTGCGAAGTGTGCGTGTGACCACGCTCTCGTCTGTGTGTTTGTAGCAAGTGCCTAGGCAAAGGTCCTGCGCAGTGGCCGCCTGAGCCGCCAGACCAGACCCAGGCCAGGAGCTGCACTGCAGCATTTGGCGCCATTGCAGCCTGCCACAGAGGCAGAGACAGTGACAGAGGCTGCCTTGCGCCAGCCAACGTCCTTGAGTACTGCTATGTAACTGGGTTGGCAGGCTGCTGCTGCTGCTGCTGCAACTGCTGCCACTACTGCCACTGCTGCTGTTGCCTGGCCACATCTCAAGTGCGTTTACTGCCCGCGGGGCCACCGCCACCTCTCTCTCTGAATCCCACTCTCTTTCTCTCTCTCTCTCTCTCTGAATGTTTTTGGTATCTCTCTGGCGTGTTTTTGGGTTACCTTATTCTTAGGTACATTCTATTGTTGCAGCTCAAGTGTTGCTGCCACTGCTGCTGTTGCACTTGTAGAGCATCTCCGCCCCGGCCTCTGCATTGGACTGGCTTGGCCTGGCCTCAAGTGGCCTACTAATAACTCGAGGGCCAACTATTGTGGCACGAGTGGTAGCTTCCCTTTCGACCAGTGATTAGGCCAGAAAAGGGAATAGGCCAATCAGGCTCGCCTTTGCCTTTGTGCCATCCAGTAAATTGGGTCACATGCATAGATATTACGCATACGCAGTGTGTGCAGTGTGCAAGTGTGCCTGTGTACGTGTACGTGTGTGTCTGTGCAGCGATTCCTCCTAGTTCGTGGATCATTGGGAAATGCGTTGAATGGTAAATCCGAATGGGGATGGATCCGCATTGAGTTCCGCTCCAAACGTGACACGTTCACTCTTTTGCTGGCTTATCAACTCATTTCGGCATAACTGGCTGTTGATTTTGGTATCACATGTTGCCACAGCAGTTTCTATTTTCGGCACACGCCCCCCAATCTTTAGCTCTCTCTCTCTCTCTCTCTCTGTCTCTCTGTCTCTGTAATGCTCTCCCTCTCTACCGCTCTTCCACTCTCTCTCCACTGTCACTCTCTCTGTCTCTCTCTCTGCTCTGCTGATAATGGAGGACCGACTAAAAGTGAGGCAATCAACGAGTCGGAGTCCGTCCCCGCCATTAGATCATACGCACACAGACAGCCACATCATCTCTGGGTATGATCACACACTCGTGACTCATTAGCCAAAGCTCTCGCACCATTCGCTCGCTCTACGTCTCTCTCTTCATGTGGGGCTGGTCTCTCTCTGTCTCTCTCGCTTCCGAACTCTATGCTTGAGTCTGGTCTCCGTCTTCGGCGCACGGAATTCTTCAGTTCGCAGTTCGGTTCAGTCAGTCGCTCGTTTCGTGCGCTCGCTCGTCGTCGCTCCAGCTCCGTTCCAGCTCCCGCTCCCGCTCCCGCTCCTCGCCTTCGCTTCCGCGCGCCAGCCATTCCGATAGACACACTCTACATTGGCTACCCAGGCAGAAGCATGTTGTTTGCCAGAACAACGACACCCAGCACCCCCACAATGATGCAGCAGCAGCAGCAGGAGAATCTCCTCCTCCAACAGCAGCAGCCAGAGCAGCTACAGCAGCAGCAGTACCAACTGACGCCATCGTTTCAATTACAGCAGAGTTTCTGTATGTGTTAAGTGCAATTTGGTTATAAGTTTTTCCATTGTATCTTCCATATCTCCCCCGTATCTTTGTATCTCCCCCTTTATCTCTGTGTATTTGTGCTTTCGTGTTGACCTTGGCAATTAGCGTGTGCTGCAATGCTACGAAAAACTCTACCTAATAATTATAATTGTGGGGTTTATCTGCCCCGCAGCTTTAAACAGTGTCTCCGCACGGAGACACACCGCTGCGTATGCGTAATATACCAATATGAATATTAGGCAACACACTCGAACGACAATTAACGTGCCGTCAACTCTGTTTATCTAGTATTTCAAGGCCAGTAGCAGCAGCACCAGCACCAGCATTGGGTTGGGTGGGTTCTCTCCTTTTATTATCTTGCCTGCCAAAACATTTCAATTGTGATTCGATTTGTGACTCCAATTGGAAATACTTTTCCATAAATACTTGAATTTGTAAATCATTTTAAAACCCACTCACTCACACACGCACAAACGCACACAGACAGAGCAGAGCCACGAATTCAGTTCAATGTCAGGCAATAATGATTATTCAGAGACACAAAACTGAAACACTGAAACACTAAAAAACTAAACCAAAGCGAATGCCTTGGACAACGACAACGACAACCCAACATGAAGTTTGACCTCAGCAGAGCTCGACCTGGTTTGGGGGGGCTTTATCAGTGGATTCTTGAAATCAATTCGAAGCGAATGTCCACTATAATTAATTCAAGAGTCGCGTTGTCACGCCGCTGTACGGTCCGAGTATGTGTGCTCGGTACTTA